ATGCCTCCATGAGATCCAGCTGTAAGGCATTTTCTCAATTAGTGATCAAGGATGGGAGGGCCCATTGTGGGTGGTGCCATCCCTCAGCTGGTAGTCCTGGGTTCTATAAGAAAGTAGGCTGAGCAAGCCAGGGGAAGCAAATCAGTAAGTAGCACCCCTCTATGGCCTCTGCATCAGCTCCTGCCTCCAAGTTCCTGCCCTGTGTGAGTTTTTGTCCTAACTTCCTTTGGTGATGAACAGCAGTGTGGAAATGCAACCTGAATAAACCCTTTCCTCCCCAACTTCCTTCTTGGTCATGATGCTTTGTGCAGGAATACAAATCCTGACTAATTCATAGCATTAAGAAAGCTGTGAGTCACAGAAATCTAACTTCCTATCTAATGAAGGAATCCTTTTAAAAATATATAATTATATTATGTTCATACCTTTGCTTACAGTCTTCTAGTGACAACAGAATTAGATATCTTTCAACAAAGCTGTCAGATTTATAGGATTACTATTTAATAAATGATTGCTCCTTATATTGATCTGAAATTTTTCTTCCTATAGATTTTACCCATCAGTCTTCATTCTGTTCTGTGGCGTTTGATTGCCCTTTAATATTTTAGTCCTAAGTCCTAAAAACAATTCAGAGAAGGACCGTAATTCCAACAGTCAGTATTTTTCAACATAGACATCATTATAGTCTCCAAATATTTTCACATGGTATATTCTCTACACTAATCCAATTATTTTTAAAGTGTAATGCCTAGAAATAAATCACAATACACAAAACATAGCTAATTAATACAAAATACCCACCTAGACATTGTTAAAATAGGCTCTGATACAGGCTCTCACTATGTAGTTCAGGCTACTCTCAAACTCCTGGTCTCAAGTGATCTTAATAACTCATGCTCCTGAATAACTGTGACTACCGACAAGAACTGGCTGTATTACTTACTGTACTCTGGGGATGGATAAGGAAGTAAGAGTTGAGGCTTAATAGTGATGGATTTGTGTGTCAAGTTGACAAGGGGTAACCTGACAAAAAGCAACTTAAAAGAAAGGTTTATTATGGATTACAGTTAAAGGAGAAGTCCATCATGGCAGGAAAAGGCATGGTGGTAGGAGTGTGAGGTTTCTGGTGATGCCATGTCCACAATCAGAAAGAAAGGAGCAATAAATGCTAGCGTTCATTTCACTTCCTGTTTTTTATTCAGATCTAGACCTGAGCCCATGAACTGGTGCCGCCCATCTTCATAATGGAACTTCTTACCATAGTTAACCTCACAATCCCTCATAGACATATGCAGTGCTCTAACCTACTGTGACATCAATCCCTCACAGACATGCCCAGAGGCTTGTCTCCTAGGTAATTCTAGATACTGTCAAATTGACAACCTATATAAACTGTTTACACTGGATACAGACCTTTTTCACATGAACTATTGTCAAGACAAATGAACCTCTGTCCCAGTCTAGTCCATAGGCAACTTGAAGCCTTGTACATTTACAGCAACTTGCTTAATTGAAATATTGGCTTTTATAGGCTAAGAAATGACAAGTAACATTTCAAAGTCATAGAACAAATGGTAAGAGTTAAGGTGTAAAACTGAGCATGGTGGTACACACCTTTACTTTTACCACCAGGACACTTAGGCAGAAAGATTACGAGTTCAAGGTCTATATAGCCCATCTATAAATAATAATAAATAAATCCAAAGCCCGCTAGACTTTATATCAGTATTTCCTTAATTGCTTTAAAGTAGTTAACAAAAAATATTAACAATATAAATAAAGACAAAAATTATGAAGAGAAAGTTCATGAAAGCTCAATCTCATTTGCAGTGTAGGGAGCATTGGACAAAAAGCCTAGTGGCATTTATATCTTATAGGTATCCAGAAGCCATCTAACTGGACAAATTCCCCCAATAAAAGAGATTCGTGCCTGGTAATATAAATCTAGCTATGGCAGATATAAATCACGGGCCCTAGAGGAGAATGTATTACTCTCCTAAACCAATGTAATTCCTAACATTCTAAATACTGGTCCTTGTATCCACATATGAGGGTAATTCTCACCCCTCACCAAAGAAGCTGCTTCTTGATGCAGATGGAAATTATTACAGAAATTCATAACTGGTCAAACTACAGAGAACAGATCATGGAGTGCCCAACCCCAATTAACACATCTACAATGCAACCTCTCTGCCTAAATCTAAGGGAACATCCCAGAAGAAAGATGTAAGAGTCTACTAGGGTGTGTGTGTGTGTGTGTGTGTGTGTGTGTGTGTGTGTGTGTGTAATCTCTATATACGAATGGATAATAGGGAAGCTATACCCATGAAATCTCAACAACATGGCAGTACCAGTTGACATGCAGATGAGGAAAATCTCACAAGGTCCTACCCCTAATGAAAAAGTAGAGGCAACTAATGGCTACTGTGAGAGGGAGAACCAGTCTTCTCCAGGATGAGCTTCCTGACAGATCATCCAATCCCAATGGTCAGCTGTAAACACATACATATGAGCACTACTAAATGCACTCAGCATACTGTGTGTGTGTGTGTGTGTGTGTGTGTGTGTGTGTGTGTGTAAAACAAAAATTTAAAAAGAGGTCAAAAGTTTGAGATAAGGGGACATGGGAAGAGTTAGAGAAGAAGGAATGGAAATGATTTGAATACAGTATTCATTTATGAAAAAAATCACTAAAAATATTAAAAGGTAAAAAAAAATTTATTCTAGTCTTAAACCTTCAGGTAAATCATGTTTCCTCTATTAACTTCAGTTTCATCATTATAAAATAAAAGATACCCTGATTTGAACAATGTAAAATATATACATATATCAAAACATATATCCCATCATTTTTGTGTCAATTTAAACTTCTAATAGAAAATATAAGGAAAAGTAGAGACAGTCATGGTGGTATTCCCAGCACTCAGGAGACAGAGGCACACCTCTGTGAGTTCAAGGACAGACTGGTCTACATATTGAGTTTCAGGCTTAACAGGGGTATGTACATAGTGAAATGCTGCCTCAAAAAAGAAGAAAATATAAATATAAATAATTTTTTTAATTTCAGGAATACTCTATATTATGAGGCTTCTTTGTACAAAAGGACAAGTTAATCCTAAAATTCATATGGAAGTGCAAGGAACCCAGAATATTCAAAACAATATTGAAACAAAATAAAATTGGGCAACTCATCCCTTCTCATTTCAAAACTTACTGTACAATTACAGTAATCAGGATAGTCTGATAATAGCATGAAGACAGATATATCCAACTAATTTAGTAGAATACAAACCAAAAATAAGCCATTAGATTTGTGATCAATTCGTTTTTTACAGAAGTACCAAGATTTCTTAACAAGAAACAGAGTTTCTCAACAAGTGGCATTTGAGAGAATTGGATAGCCATGTGTACAAAAATGAATGGAGTTAGACACCTATCTCATTCCATACCTAGAAATCAACGAAAAATGGATCATGGGCTTAAACAGAATTACTTGAAACTGTCAAACTTTTATATGGAGAAAATGGAGCTCCCATACACTACTGGTGGAAATGTAAATTGGCATGGCCATTGTAGAAGATAATCTGGCTTTTTCTCAAAAAAAGTTGCTAATTAAAAGTATACTTACCATGCTACCCAGCAATTCCACTTCTAGGTATATATACATACCCAAGGAAATCAAAAACATGTAGACACAAAACTTGGTATATAAATATTCACAGTATAATGAATAATAACCAAATATTGGAAATGATTCAAATGTCTATCAGTGGATAGATGAATGAATAAATAAAGCATATCTGCAGAGTGAAGCATAATGCAACATGATTGAACCCTTAAACAATTATGCTAAATAAAAAAGTTAATCACAAAGACCACTTACTGTACATCTCTATTTGCATGAAATGCCCATAATATGCAAATTTACAGACAGAAAATTGATTCATGTTTATATGAAATATAAATATGTTTACTTTATTAAATTTATAATAAATATGTTTGTGGTTATTATATATCAATATATTGATAATTAAAATTCATATTAATATATTAAATATATTCACATTGATATATTAAATATATTTGTGCCAATTTAAATTTTTAATAGAAATATATTTAAATTACTGATACATTATAAATAGGTATATTTTGTGGTATAGAAATTATATATCAATAAAGAAATTAAAATAATGAGATATTTTAAGGCATCTTTCATTTCTAGAATAACCATAGGGAAATGCATCATAGTTTACATTTTGCCAACTAAAAGTACATGCCTAGTTCCATAATGACAAAACAAGGAAACTAATAAAGCAACAAATGATAAAATACAATTTTGAAATTTCAGTATTTACATAAAACCAGAAGACTTTTAAAATATCAGTGAAAAACACAGAACAATTATAAATGAGACGGCATCTTTGAGGTCAACTATTTAAAGACCATTGTGATTGTAGGAAAATCTCAAGGCTGGGTAGATAGATAGCTTAGTAGGTAAGAGCAACTGCTCTCCAAGCATGAGATCTAAGTTCAGATCCGCAGCACATACTAGGTCAAACAGCCTAACCCAAACAGCAAGCTCCTTGTTCAGTAAAGGACCCTGCTTCAAGGGAAGGGACTAAGGCAGAGAATTATAGAGGAAGACACTTTATGTCTTGCTCAGACCTCCGCATGTACACACCCTTCCCACATGTTCACATACATGCACCATACATATCACAAATCCATATATTTGAAAAACTAATAGTTGAAAGTGAGACTCTCAGAGGCGGTATTTAAAAATAAACAGTTGTTGCTATAAATAAATAAATGAAGTGGTTGAAAATTAAGCTTAGCTATTCTTTCTTTTTACCATCATTCACGCTACACAGATTACAGTCACCACTAGTAATATCAACTATCATAGTATAATATCCTACAGAAAGCAAAGTACACATCTTTATCGCTTTTTACATTTTAAAAATGTCCTGTTGTGAGGCCACAGTGCTTATGATACCTACTGACTCAGCTTGGTAAGAAAGCACATGGAAGATGCCCTTCTCCACAGTGATCTTATACATGGCTATGTTAGCCTCAGTGTAGCATCTCCACATTAATCTGACATATAATTTCTCCAGATTCTGAAAAAGAAAACAACACAAGCATGAGACCTACCACAAATGTTACTAAGAATTTCCACTGCTCAAAATCTGTAGTAACTTACAGCCATGGCAGCTTGAAAGAATTCATCAGCAATCTGAGCATTTCCAGTATCCAACCATTCTTTCCCTGTTCTCATATTCATCTAGAAAACACAAGTTAGGAAATTGTTTTAAAACTTCACACCTCTCCCTAAATTGGTTGAAAGATATTGGAGAAAATAATTTATCTATATAGAGAGATATGATATACAGGCGGAAAAAACAACAATCAGCACTTTCTAGAGTTCTGCGTGCTGCTTTGAATTTCAACTTAAGAGAAGTAGTCTTGAGAAAAGCAAAAAAAAAAAAATAATGTTTTTACTGGTTAGTTTTAAATGTCAACTTGCCACAACCTAAAATCGCCTGGGAAGAGAATCTTAATGAGAAATTATCAAGGCCAGACTGGCCTATACATATGTTGTTAAGAGAGTCTCTTGATTGTTAGCTGATGCAGGAAGACCGAGCAGTTTGGGTGGTGTCATTCCCTAGGAAGGAGATCTTGTACTAGATAAATCAGGAGAAAACTAGATAACAGAAAGCAAGTAAGGATGTGTATATTCTCTCTTTGATTTTGACTGTAGATACAATATGACTGAGTTCCTACCTTGCCTTGCCTTCGACAATGGGCTGAGACCTGGAATTGTAAGTCAAATAAATCCTTTCTCGTCTACATTGATTTTTATCTGCCTATTTCATCGCAGCAACAAAAACAGAACTAGAACAATGCCTTGAAAACACATCTTCTGAGAAAATACTTTTAATATTTTAGTTGTGCATGAAGTTCTCAAAATTTCCAATTATAATTATTATCCCATTTTAAGGATTTCTCTTTCTTTTTTAAAGATTTATTTATTAAATGTACAGTGTTATGTACTGCATATATGCCTCCAGATCTCACTACAGATGGTTGTGAGCCACCATGTGGTTGCTGGAAATTGAACTCAGAACCTCTTGAAGAATAGCCATTGCTCTGGACCCCTGAGCCATTTCTCCAGCCATATCCCAATATTTTTAAAGTTATAATTTATATAGAAAGAGAAACATTTTAAAAACTCAATGCTTCACGTAAGTGAAGAAATTTATAGGAAAAACATTGGACTATGAGTCAGCACACCTAAGTTCCAGTTTTTAATTTCATCTTTAGAATAGTATTAAAGAACTCAATGGGGCTGGAGAGATTGCTCAGTGGTTAAGAGCACTGACTGCACTTCCAGAGGTTCTGAGTTCAAATCCCAGCAACCACATGGTGGCTCACAACCATCTGTAATGAGATCTGATGCCCTCTTCTGGTGTGTCTGAAGACAGCTACAGTGTATTCATATATAATAAATAAATCTTTTAAAAAAAAAAGAACTCAATGATTGAATCATTATTAAATAGCATTTACCTGTCACAACCTGAAAATGCTCTCAATACTGTAACTGGTAGGTAAGGAATAGCTGATATGTAATATGCATAAATCCTATGGATGCAAACAAGGACTGAATTGAGATAGAAGAGTGAGCATATGGTACAGCTACCTCTTCTAGTATAGTTCCCCAGAAATGATAATAAAAAGTATGTTTCTGGGGGGGGAAATGGGGAAAGGGGCTAACATCTGAAATGTAAATAAAATATCCAATAATAATAATAATAAAAATAATAATAATAAAAGAAAAAAGTATGTTTCTAATTCAAAACGAGTCCTAGAAATTAAGAGGCATTTTTAATGAACCAGAAATTAGGAAGAATCTCTAAAAACAAAAAAAACAAATGAGACAAAAACTCTCATCATAAATGCACAAATACGGAAAATTTGGAAACGTCCCTGAAGGTCAAAAGCAGAAACATCAAGTAATTAGCCTCCCAACAAAAGGTCTCTATCTTCCCCCTCTTGAGAAAATAGCAATAAATACAACTCATGGGCTGAGAAGAAATCAATTTCAGATAGCTGACAACCTAGACCAATGCAAAATATCTAGTCTTACTCCACCATCAGTCACTGGGTTCAAGTTACAGTAAATAGTGTGACACAGTATTCAAAGAAAACTATCAAGGAACCTCAAATTAAACTAATGAGGAAGAACAATACCATGAAAGGACAGCACACTCAAACACAACACTCGAGGGAGGAGAATTAAGAAATGTAGGTTAAAGGAGAAGAGAGGTGGAGTGGTAAAGGTATGAATACTCGAAGAAAATGGAAAGTAAAGATCTAATCTTCAAAAGTTATGGGGAAATGTTAAATGTATTGTTTACATTTTTAAAGATTTCAAAGCTTGTTAGGACTACATAGTGAGACCCTCTCTCAAAAAAATATTTTTAAAGATAAGCATCAAATAAGTTTTATATAGTATACTATAACGAAAATGGAGAAAAGATCAGAGAAGATAACATAATATGAAATAACTTCTTATATCTCATAATCACAAGTAAATAGATAATATAAAACTGATAAATCAAAAATTAGTTGTTTTTAGTGTTGAGGTTTTTGGTTTTGTTTTGTTTGCAGTGCTGGGGCTTGAACCAAAAGCCTCATATATACTAAGCATCCATGCTACCATTAAGTCCAAGAATGAGTTATTAATATAGAAAGATTGCTGCTTCATAAAAATTCTATGTTGAAGCCCTCACTTCACATACATCAAATTATGAGTATATCTGAACATAGGGCCTTTAAGAGATAATTATGTTAAAATGAGGTCTTAAAAGTCTATACAAGGGCTAGCAAGCTGTTTCACTGGGTAAAGGCGCCTGCCATTCAAGCCTCTGATTCCACATAAAGATGGAAGGAGAGAACTGACCTCATAGTGTTTCCTCAGATCTCCACACATGGGCTGTGGTATGCATACACGCTCACACGGGCACGCACACGTGAGCACACACGCACACACAACAACAATAAATAAAACTGGTGGGAAAGAGCCTAATGAGATCTTACTGGTATCCTTACAAGAGAGAATTTAGATATACAAAGGCGCACAAGGAATGAATGACCCTGCTGAGAGCAAAGGTCACACAAGGACCAAGGGGAGAAGGGGGATAACTGGAAATCCAGAAAAAGAGACTTAAGAGGAAATTGAACATGCTGACATCTTGATCATGAACTGGGAAAAAAATAATTAAGATAAAATTAATTTCTGTTGTTTAAGCCATGTGGTTTATGACTTTTTTATTGGAGCCCTAGAAAAATCAATAGAGTAATAAAAGTATATGATTAAGATATATGGAGGTAGGCTGAGTATAGTGCTGCATGCCTTTAATCTCAGCACTTGAGAGGTAGATGCAAGCAAATCTTTGTCTGTTTGAGTCCAGTCTTGGTCTACATAGTGAGTTCCAAGACAACCAGAGCTATAAGACTCTGTCTCAAGCCCCTGCATCCAAAAAAGATATATGGAAGTAACCCTGAAAATGAAAACAGAAGTAGTTACAAGTAATAGCCTTAAAACTGGCAATGACAGCTGAGAAAGTAGCTCACTGAAGTGCTTACCTAGCATGTGGCAGGCCCAAAGTTTAACCTCTAGCACCGAAAGAAAAATTAACAAAGATACACACAGAAAGCAAGTCACTATGGCACCCAAAGGACCATCAAGGTACCTCCAATTGAATATAGTTATATTTTATACGTGTGTGTGTGTGTGTGTGTGTGTGTGTGTGTGTAGTACAGAGATACTTTTATTTATTGTTTTTATTTTATGCATATAGGTGTTTGAAATGGACCATGTACATGCCTAGTGCCTAGGGAGGACAGAAGGGGCTGTCAAGATACCCTGGAACTACAGTTCCAGCTGATTGTAAGCTGCCATGTGTGTGCTGGGAATCAAACCCCAGTCCTCTAAAAGAGCATCCAGGGTTGCGAACCACTGAGCAGTATTTCTGGCTCCCAAAGCTATTTTTAAAAGTGAGAAATAGCTCGATACACACAAATAGATATTGCCACACATAGATATATAGTTACATAGGTGAAAACGTAAATGGGAAGAGTATATATGGAATCCAGTAAAGTATAAGGGTGCACACCAGTAATCCTAGCATTTTGAAGACTCATGCAGAAGGATTACAAAGCCCAGCCTGGGCTACATAGTAAGTTTTGGTCTAAAACAATGGATATGTGTGAATTGTTTTCCATTTATTTAGCTATATCCCTATCCCATTAAAACAGTATTTTGACCAGTGGCACATGCCTACACTCCCAATACTTGGGAAGCAGAAACAGGAAAATCACTGCAAATTCAAGATCAGAGCCTACATTAGTGAGTTTCAAGCCATCCAGGGCTACACAGCAAGACATCATCTTGAAAGACTGAAAAAAAACCATAGAAAACACAAAAACAAATAATACTAGGTATGAAGACATGTGAAATGCTAGCATTCTAGAGGCCACTGAAGGATAGGATAGAATAGGGTATATTGTATCAGTATGATACAATACAATATGACATGATACTAAGAAGAAACCTTACCAAGAAAATGAAAGACTTTTACAATGTAAACTTTTAAAATAAGAACCAGCGCGCACACACACACACACACACACACACACACACACACACACACACACAACAAAACCCTGCCCTGGCCCAGGGAAAGTGCACAGGAGGAGATAGCTGGTGGGTGACCCAGCCAGGCCCATGCCCCACCAGGCCACGCATTGCTGGGGGCAGGAGGCAAGATGATGTCTGTGGCACATGTTTCCACTGAGGGCTATCCAAATGTCCATGGTCTGTGCTGCAGCCTGAAGCCATGTCCACAGGCTATGCTGCCAAGGGGGCATATTATTGTGGGTAGCCTGTGCTGCCACCTGAGGCCATTGTGTTGTCTAGATCCTTGTTAGCTCAGAAGGCCTTGTCTGGGTCAGGAGGCCACCATGTTCATGGTATGTGCTGTTGCCAGAAACCATGTAGATAGAGGCCCATGATCTATGCTCCCACTGACCATGAAGACGACTACTTTTGCTGTGATACTGATGACTGCAGACTCACAGTTGAGAAAGAGGGACATAGAAAGCTTCTGCGACAACCCCTAGCCTCACCCCACCCTCCAAAAAGTAACAGCCTAGATAGGAAGCCACCAAAGAACTCTTTAAAAGTGTAAGGGAGATACTGAAATGTAGCTCTCCAGAATTGATGGCTTCTGACAAAGGTATGAGAGGGGAAGGGTTCAGTTCTATTTAAGGGGAGGCCTCTGAGAGTTTCGCCATGCTCCAGTGAGTATATAGATAACACAAAGTGAATTTGTTTTATGTTGTTTGTCTGTTTTTCTTTTTTCTTATTTTTTTACTTCTTTTGGGGGAGCTTACAAGGACATGCAAGGACTGGGAAGGGATTAGGGTGCATGATATGAAGCTTCCAGAGAATCAATAAAAATATTATGTTGGAAAAAAGAAATAAGATGCCACAAATGAATAAGACAATGGAAAATAGGAAAATCTTTCATGCTCATGGATTGGCAAAATTGATATTGTGAAATTTTCTATATTGTCAAAAGCAATCTGCATATTGACCACAATCTCCATGAAAATTCTGATGGTAATTTTCACAAAGCTAAGGGAAAAAAATCTAAAAATTCATGTAGAAACATAAAACACCCCAAATAGACAAACCAAACCTACATGAAAACCTACATGAAAAGTGTCCTACTTTGTTTTCTATTACCATGATAAACACTGAGCAAAAGCAACATGAGGAGAAAAGGGTTCCTTGTCACACTCTATCACTGAGATTCTGTAAAGAAACCCAAAGTGGGAAACCTGGAAGCAGAAACTGAAATAGAGGCCAATGAGGAATGCTAGTTAATGGCTTACTAAGTTTTCTTCTTATACAACCCAGGACCACCTGCCTAGGAGTAGCACTGCCCACAAGTAGGTTCAGGCTACCCTCATCAATCATTAATCAAGGCAATGTCCCACTGTCTTGGCTTCAGGCAATCTCATGGAGGTACCATCTCAGTTAAGGTCCCCCCTCACTTCCCAAATGACTCTAATTAGTGTCAACCTGGCAAAAACTAGCCAGCACAATATCACAATACCTGACCATTAAATTATACTTCAGAAGCTAAAAGGATGCTCAGAGGGCAAAATGTTTGCTATGCAATTATAAGGACCTAAGTTCAGATCCCCAACACCCATGTAAAAACTAGGAATGGTGATATACACCTGTAACCCCAGCAGTAGAAAATCAGAAACAGGAGGATCCAAGGATGCTAGCTGGATAAGCTAATCTAGCCAGTCAGTGAATTCCAGATTCAGTGAAAGACTGTTTCAAAAACTAAAGTGAGAGGAAGACACCCAACTTTACCTTTGTCTCAACACAAACTGCATACACATATGCACATGCATACAGAGAGAGAGAGAGAGAGAGAGAGAGAGAGAGAGAGAGAGAGAGAGAGAGAGACAGAGAGAGAGAGACAGAGAGAGTCTCAACACAAACTGCATACACATATGCACATGCATACACAGAGAGAGAGAGAGACAGAGAGAGAGAGACAGAGAGAGAGAGAGAGAGAGACAGAGAGAGAGAGAGACAGAAAGAGAGACAGAAAGAGAGATAGAGAGACAAAAACAGAATAGAATACAGGACCCAGAAATAACAGACACAACTATAGCCTCCTAATTTTTGAGAAAGGACAGACAGCCTCTTCAACAAATGGTGCTAACCACATACAAAATGATTAAATCAGACCCATGTTTCACACCCTGAATTAAAATCAGTTCAAAATTGATGAAAGACCTTAATCTGGAACCTGAAGGTGCTAGGCGAAAACATGTCAAGTATGGGTACAGACAATAAGTTTCTAAAAAGAATTTCAATAGTATATAAAATGGCCCCAAGAACTGACTAATTGGATTACTTGAAATTAAAAAGTTTCTGCAATGCAAGAGAATCATCAGCACCAGTGAATCATCAGTGAAAATATGAGCTAAAGAAACGGAGATAATCTTGGCCATACATCAGAAAGGGGACTAATACCTAAGATATATAAAGAAATGTGGGGGGACTGGTCAGATGGCTGAGACGTTAATAGCACTAGCTGTTCTTTCTGAGGTCCTGAGTTCAATTTCAACAACCACACAGTGGCTCACAACCATCTGTAAAGGGATTTGGTGCCCTCTTGCTGGAATTCAGGTATACATGAAGATAGAGCACTCATATATAAATTAAATACATCTTTAAAAAAGAAGAAGAAAATCAAACACCAAACGACGTAGGCCAAATAGGCCAACTAGTTCTCAAAAGAACTCGAAGAAATGAAAATGGCCAATAAATAGTTAAGAATATTTTCACCATCCTTAGCCATTAGGAAAACACAAATTAATACTGCTTTGAGATTTCACCTGACTCTAGGCAGAATGGCTATCATCAAGAAAACAAATGATAACAAATTCTGGCAAGAATGTGGGGGGATGAGAAACATTTATTCTCTAGTTGTTGGGATTATAAACTTGTATAGCCACTATGGGACTCTGGAGATTTTTGAGAAAAAAAAAAAAAGTAAAAGGGGATCTACCATACGACCTAGCTATACTCCTCCTGCATTATCTTAGGTTTTTCTGTTGCTGTGATTTAAAACACCCTGAGCAAAGCAACTTATAAAAGGAAGCATTTAACTGAGCTTATGGTTTAAGAAGGTTAGAGCTAGTGTTGGCCAAACAAAAGCATGGTGGCAGGAACAGCTGAGACCTCATATCTTGACCCACCAGTAGGCCACAGAGCAAGCACACTGTAAATGGTGTGAGCTTCTGAAACCTCAAAGCTGCCCTCTAGTGACACACCTCCTCTCACAATGCCACACTTTTTTATTTTATTTTTTTATTGGATATTTTATTTATTTACATTTCAGATGTCATCCCCTTTCCTCATTTCTCCTCCCTAGAACCCCCATCCCATCCCCCTCCCTATTTATGCTTTTTTACCATTTTGATTACATGCATGTATTAAGGTCAGTTCTAGGTTGAGGGTCTAGCAGTACAATAGATGCAAATAGTCAAGGAACAAGCAATACAGTAAACACAAATAGTCAAAGAGATAGAAGGCATTAAACTCAATTACATGAACACTCCCATGATCACTGTTTCTAAGGGCTTATCAGGATGACCAAGGTATCTGAGCCAACTTCCCTGTCCTAGCCCAAGGTCATTTTCATGTCTGAAGCCTACTTCCTTGTTCTAGCCTAAAATTTAGATTCCTGTCTGAAATTACTTCTTTGTTCTAGCCTAAGATTTAGATTTCTACCTGAAATTACTTCTTTGTTCTAGCCTAAGATTTAGATTTCTACCTGAAATTACTTCTTTGTTCTAGTCTAATGTCAGATTCCTGCCTGAAGCCTACCCATTGTGTTAAACCTTTTCTTCAACATCAACATGTTGGCAGTCAAGTACATGGCTTGAACCTGAAAATGGACTCCCAGACAGAATTAGTAAATTAACAGGCTGGCAAGCCAAGGATAGGTAAGATTCTGCACAGAGCCTTACCAACCTAAGACAGAAATGCACTGCTTTTGATAAAGAATATTCCATGTCTGGCAAGGAAGGCATTCTTGTTAGAACGACCTAAGACAGGCTCTGTCTTGTTAATGAAATAAAAAATGGGGAGAGGCCGAGAGCCTTTGGGGCTGCTTGGCAAGAATCTGACATGGGCCAAGGACAAGGAAATGGGCTGTTTGGCAGAAATATGACATTGGCCAAGGACAAGGAAGGACACACTTTCTCTTACCAAACAAATAAGCATGTAAGCCAAGCCTGATGGCATACATAATCTCAGCACCTCAGGTGACTGAGGAAGGAGGATCATAAGTTCCAACTAAGCCTGGGGGTCTATGGTTTTAAATGAAATGTCCCCCACAAGTTCATGTGCTTGAGAATTAGTCTTCAACTGGTGGTACTACTGGAAATTTCAATGAGTCAGAACTGGCTAGAAGAAGTCAAGCACTGAGAATAGATCCTTTAGGGCTACCTTATCTCTGATCACTTCCATTTTGAGGGGAAAATATTGGGATATAGTCTTGATTTATAGCCCTCCTTGATCAACTTGGTATTGACTGTTCAGTTTGAAATGGCCTCTAACTTTCCTCAATCCTCCTCCCTCAGCCCCCAAAATACTGAGATTATAGACACGGGCCACTATGTCTGGCTTCCTTCATGCCTTTTCTTTGCTTTCTGGCTAGCATGATGTGAAATGCTCGGCTTTACCACATGCATTATGCCATCACAGATTGGTATCTCTGAAACCATAAGCCAAAATATACTCTTCTTCATGTTGTTATATCACAGTATTTTATCACACCAATTAGAAAGCCAGCTAAAATACTGGGCTACAGAACCCTGTCACAAATAATCAAAACAAATCAATCAACTAATCCTGAACTCCTTCCATTGCTGAATAGTTCAAAATTTTCATGAAAAAATGCCTGGTTTTTGTTTTGTTTTGTTTTCTGAGACAGACTTATGTGATAATCTATATATAGCCCAGGCTGACTTCAAATTTGAGATCCTCCTGCCTTAGCTTCCTAAGTACTGAAATTAGAAGTATGTGCTACCATACCTGGCCTAGAAAAAAAATCCATCAAATTGGAGATGATATGTATAAAAACAACTCATAAATATAGAATCATATTTCAATATTTTCTTCATTGAAGCATTCTATTAAATACAGTACTTATGAGAACTATAACTATACTATCTATACTAATAAAAAAGAAACATGGATAACACTAAAGGTTCTTCCAATTTTATACTAAATTCAATTATTTTCATAGAAGTAACTACTGTGTCATTTAATCCTATTTCATATCTTCAGCTAATCAGGGCTTACCAAAATCTGTCTTTGAATAGCTTCTTCTGAAGAAATTGAGATTTCTTGCATACGTACCAGCTTGCAAGCAATATAACACACTGCAAAAGAGTAATTAGATATCCATCAAACATAAAGCACAAATTTTCTTTTTATATATAAAAGAATCAATGATTAAAATGAAACCAGCTTTACTGTTTATAAAAAGAAGTTGTGGGGTTTTTAGTTGTTTTTTTGCAAAGTTTTGCTGTGGGTTTTGTTTAGTCTGGGTTTTTGTTGTTTAAGACAGGGTCTCCTGTGGGCCAGACTGACTTCAAGTTTACTATGTAACTGAGTCTAGGTTTGAACTCCTAAACCTCCAGCCTTCAACTCCTTAGTGATGGGATTATGACAAGGATCACCACATCCAGAACAGTTTTTTCTTTAAAATATTTTTCATACAATGTATTTGATCATGTTCTTTCTCTCCCTAACTCCTCCCAGATTTTTCCTACCCAACCAACTTTACGTCCCCTCCCTCCCTCCTCCCCCCTCTAAGTAAAAGCAAAACAAACAAAAAACCCATTAAGACAAAAAAAATACCAAAACAAAAAGCATACAAAAACACATTTTGTGTTACATCCAGCCTATTTAATCTTTTCTTTTACTTTTTCCTGTGCTAAGGTTCAAACAACTCACATAGTATTCTAGCACAGAGCTAACCTCCTAGGCCTCAAACAGGAATTTTAAAAGACCATCTAAATAATTAGGTTTTTTCCCAAAGGTAAAAAACCTGAAGTTTATCAAATGAATTGCTTGCTTACTAATTCTAGTCAAATATATTTAATTATATATTATAATGTTCATAATTCTAACATTTTAATTTCTGTAGGAATTAAATCCTGAATCTTCACTGAGGATATCTGATTCCACATAATGCTCCTGAATCATGCTGACAATAATCCTCAGCAGAGCTGCAACCTATAGCTTATGCATCATCTAACAAATTTCTGGATATCGGGGTAGTTTTATGTTTTCTTCTAAAATCTGAAACTTTCTAAATATTTTCTTAGATGACATAAAAGTTCTTGAAATATAATATATAAAATACAGGTGCCTTTATTATACAGTTGACTGTCACTGAAAATAGGAAAGTCTGAATAACTATAACTTGTTCACATCTGCACTCTGCCTTATTGTAAAACATATGCAAGTTTTTAAAAGTGAGTTTACTTGAACTAGTTACCTTTTTCTTTTGAGACAAAAACAGCAACTGTCAGCACATTAAGTCTTAATTATTTTAGCTAAAGCAGCTAAACCTTTACCAAACACTAAAGCATCCAAAAAGATGTTTGTCTTGAGTTTTTCTTTGTTTGTTTTACTGTTCTCATTTTTCAGTCTTTCAAGTAGAAATAAATTCTATAGTTTCTCTTGGTAATTTACCACTATGTTTATTGGCTTACCTCAGGAAAAAGTGATTCTTTAATTTAAAAGAAAATCAAGGGGCTAGAGAGATGGCTTCATAGTTAGAAATACTGACTACTCTTCCATAAGACCTGAGTTCAATTCCTAGCACACACATGGTAGCTCACAACCATCTGTAACTTATGTATGTGGTATGCAGGTATATATGCAGGCAAAACACCAATACACATAAAATAAAAATGTAAAAGTCTAAATGCCTCATATGGCAATGTGTTTTATTCTAATATTAGCAGAGAGGGGAAGCAACTATTTGAAAGTCCTTAGGAATCTGGACGATTTTGACCTTGTCTTCCCAGTGATCCATGTTCTTTCACATTTCCTCCAGGTTTTATCTTCCCATCTTTTGATCAGCCTTGTTCATCTCCAGACTATCTTGCAGTGGTACCTTAAAACTTGTATTAACAAAGGGATACCTCTAAAAACTCATGAACGCTGGAAAACTATTAGCTTAGGGAACAAACTATTTGGTTGTCACTTAACAAATCAATCCCTATGTAAGAACTTGTCAAAACAGTCAAACTTCAGGAGTATTACCCAATGTCTAGTAAGACTATTTTTCAACATGGGTCACAAAATGTATACATACGTTTAGCTGCCTGGTTTTTCCTCACAGACAGTTCTATTCTCTTAGTAACTGCCCAGTTCCACAGGCTCACTGCAATTTCTTCAATCTAGACAAAGAGAAACATTTGTTTAGCCAGTTAAGATAATCTCCACTTTCAATTATATATATTTTCTAGTATGCTGTATGCTTATACTGGTATTGCGGGTCATTTCCTGACCTTCCAAATATAACCTCAATCCACTTCTCCTCACAGAAAACTTACCATCTCTTAAGAGAAATTATCTTGCCCCCTGAACATAATTTGTGTATTCCCATTTATATATCTTTATTCATCTGGCTTACTTTAACCTGAATCATACCTCATTCCTTTGTCTTCCTGCAAATAGAATCTATGTTAGTCTTACTAGCAACGTGCACAAAACTTTTGGAAATCACTACAGTTTGCTGATTTCTCTTCTCTCCCTTTTGTAACAGCTTTAGCAGTTCAAGGAGGTCAAATTCAAAGTTATATGAATATTAAGCAAGCATTCCACCACTAAACCACCCTCAGCTCTTTCTTGTTTAAATTTTTATATTCACTGTCACACAATTTAGCAATTAATTATAAAACTATGCATCAGCTCTCCTCCAGCTGAGCAAGATGCCCAAAGGAAAGAAGGCCAAGGGGAAGAAGGTGACCCCGCCCCCCACCGTCAATCCTTTGTTCAAGAAAAGGCCCAAGAACTTCAGCACTGGGCAGGACATGCAGCCCAAAAGAGATCTAACACACTTCATCAAATGGCCCCGCTACATCAGGCTGCAGCGGCAAAGAGCCATCCTCTATAAGCAGCTCAAAGTACCTCCTGCCATTAACCAGTTCACCCAGGCCCTGGACAGGCAAACAGCTACTCAGCTGCTTAAGCTTCCCCACAAGTACAGGCCAGAGACAAAGCAAGAGAAGAAGCAAAGGCTACTGGCCCGTGCAGAGAAGAAAGCTGCTGGCAAAGGAGACGTCCCAACTAAGAGACCACCTGTCCTCCGAGCAGGAGTCAATACAGTCACCACCTTGGTGGAGAACAAGAAGGCTCAGCTGGTGGTGATTGCCCATGATGTAGATCCCATTGAGCTGGTGGTTTTCCTGCCTGCCCTGTGCAGAAAGATGGGGGTGCCCTACTTCATCAAGGGAAAGGCCAGGCTGGGGTGCCTGGTCCACAGGAAGACATGCACCACTGTTGCCTTCACACAGGTTAACTCGGAAGACAAGGGTGCTCTGGCTAAGCTGGTGGAAGCTATTAGGACCAATTATAATGACAGATATGACGAGATCCGGCGCCACTGGGGAGGCAACGTCCTGGGTCCTAAGTCTGTGGCCCGAATTGCCAAGCTGGAAAAAGCAAAGGCTAAAGAACTCGCCACTAAACTGGGTTAAAAAATAATGTACACTTAAGCTTTCTGTACATAATTACAAAATTATCTTCACAAAAAAACCGTGCATCATTTATTCTGATTTGGTTCAGCTTAGTTTGAGGGGTTTGGGGTTGGGGGCAGAAGAGTAAAGTCTCTCTGTATAGCCCTAGCTGGCCTGGCACTCTGAATATGGATCAGTTTGGCTTAGAATTTAATAGCAATTCACCTGTCTCTGGCTCTTGAGTGATGAAAATATAGGCATGCAACATTACCCTTGATGTGTTGATGTTTCTTGCCCTGGATTGATCCCAGGATCTCTCCCATACAGGCAAGTTTCTAAAACTAAACTACAACCAAAGGTTATTTTTAACTAGTTTTAGTTTTTATCCTTGTTTCCCAAATAGGCTTCTTGGTAGAAAATATCATGCCTTATAGATCATATTTAACATAGTACATGCAAAAATATTAAATAAATATATATTTAAATAATAAGATTCATCATTTTATTATGTTTCATTCTGGGAATCAAAGGACAAAGTCTGTAAATGCTCCTCTAAGGTTTATCTTTCTATAAGGCAGAACCTAATTAACAGAATAAAAAGTTAACCAAGCCTACAGAGTCTCAAGGAAAAAAATGAAGACTGAAGATAATATGTATAAAAAATAGCTGGAAAGACAGCTTAGCAGTGAAGACCACTGTCTGCTCCTCCAAAGGACCTGGGTTCAATTCCTAGCACTCATGTGGCAGCTCACAACTGCCTGTAATTCCACTTCCAAGGGATCAGACACCCTCACACAGACACACAGAAGCAAAATATCAATGTACATAAAATAAAAATAAATCATTTTTAAAAATACTTATACATGGAATTAGGTTGGGGTGCTATAACTTAATGGTAGCATGCTTCCCTAAATTCAATCCCCAGTTCTGATCTCCAATTCTGAAAAATTGGGGAAAAAAAAAAACTTTGGTTTGGTTTCTGGCAAAAAAAACCTTTGAAGGCAGTAACTGAGCCTGGGTGAAACTACCTGGGTGAGACCAATATAACATAGCCTTGATTTAAGATTCCTAAGTGCTAGTGAATAATGATAGGCTCTACATATAATTATCTTATGACAGATATATTGATAGTAACTGACTAAAGGCAGTGAGTAAAATACACCTACTAAAAACTCACAGTGATTGTGTAAGTTTTTATTCTATACTATGGATGGAAGCCAGGGCCCTGTATATATTAGATAAGAGTATACTAGACAAGATATATGCCACAAAACTATATCCCCAGGTCTATGTTTTACTAAGCCTTTTTTCTCCAGTACCTTCTTTCTCATCTACACCTCCACCTTTTTTTTCTGATGTTGGAGATTCCATTTAGACAGACAGAGAATTTAGCATAGGTGCCATTTCACTTTCCTATTCTGGGGTAAATTTTCATGCCCACCTCCACGTATCTCACATAGTATAATCACTGACTGAATAATGACTTTCACATAAATACCTGACTTTCACATAAATTATATCACCAAAAACAAGTAAAGTTTTAAGAGGAAAAATGAATTTTCACATTAAAACATCTTTTTTTTCTGCTCTCATATATTAATTACATCCTGAGTGCAGCTTCCTCTCCCTCCCCTCCTCCCAGTCCCTCCCCCCAACACCTCCCCTCTTCCCCAGATCCACTCCTCCTCCTTTCCCTTCAGAAAAGATCAGGCCTCCCAGGGATCTCAACCAAACATGGTATGATAAGACTAGACACAAACCCTTATATTAAAGCTAAACTAGGCAACCCAGTAGGAGGAAAGGGTCCCTAAAGCAGGCAAAAGAGTCAGAGACAACCCCTGTTCCCACTTTTAGAATTCCCACAAGAAGACCAAGCTATAAAACCACAACATATACACAGAGGATCTAGGTTAGACCCATGAAGGCTCCCTGATTGCCATTTCAATTCCTGTGAGCTTCTATGGGCCCAGACTAGTTGATTCTGGGGGTTTTCTTGTGGTATCCTTAACTCCTCTGGCTCCTACAATCCTTCCTTCCCCTCTTCCGAAGGATTCTCCAAGCTCCATCTAATGTTTGACTGTGGGTCTCTGCATTTGAAGTCTCTCTGATGATCATTATGCTAGGCTCCTTAAAGACCTATCTTTTGGCATTTTGGAAAGCAATTTGGCAATATGTAGAATTAACCAAAATTGTTCATATATTTTGCCCTACTAATTGCTCTTCTGAGACCTATTCTAAGAAAATAATACAAGTGGGAAATAATCATTGCACTTAATAATGTACCTTTTATTACTATGATAGAGAAAACGTGGAACAATATAGTCAATAATAAAGAAATGCAAAAACAAATTTTAATAAATTCCCTTGAAAGGATATAATTCAGCCATTTTAAAAACAGTCACAGCAGGTGAGATGGCTCAGTAGGTAAAGGTAAAGGGACGTCTCACATAAGCCTGACAACTTGAGTGCAATCCCTGGAACTCACATTAGTGTGTGTGTGTAGGAGACACGTATGCCATGCCATGTGGAGATCAGACGACAATTTTGTGAAGCCACACACAACACATGATAAATTTTAAAAATAAAAATAGTGATCCCTAACGTGGTGGTGCATGCCTTTAATCCCAGCAGTTGGAAGGTAAAGGCAGGTGATTTCTCTGAATTTGAGACCAACATGATCTACATAGTGAGTACCAGGTCAGCCACAGCTATATAATGAGACCCTGTCTCAAAACAACAAAATAAAGGGAAAGAAAGAAAGCCTTAACCTGGGAAATGTTCTTATATATAGTGAATAGATAAGATACAAAATTATATGGACAAAAAATGTTGTACTAATATAAATTTACCTCCAAAAGAGCTTTAATAAAATCATGGATCTTGATGAAGTGATAGACATTTAAATGAATCCCCAAAATAAGCTGTGCGGATCAATAAATAGTCCACAAATACAGATGGTAAATGAATGGTGAAGAAAGACAGTAAAAAGAGCTCAGAAGAAGAATACTGGTTTAGCATGAGTGAGGCCAAGTTCAATCCCTTGTACTGGAAAATAAAAGGAAGGAAAGAAAGGAGGAAGCATAACTATAGGATCTAAATGACTGCTAGAGAAGTCTCCACTGTAATTTGGGAAGGGCTCAGTGCATGAGATCAAATCCTGGATTTCACAAATGCTAACCAAATCCTATACCACTAAGCTATGGCCCCAGCCCCCAACTTTTGTTTCTGGAAAATATTATAATGAAATAGTAGAAAAGAGAAGAAATTGTTTTACAATAAAAATCTTTACATGTCAGCTGGGCGATGGTGGCGCACGCCTTTAATCCCAGCACTCGGGAGGCAGAGGCAGGCGGATTTCTGAGTTTGAGGCCAGTCTGGTCTACAGAGTGAGTTCCAGGACAGCCAGAACTCCACAGAGAAACCCTGTCTCGAAAAACCAAAAAAAAAAAAAAACCTTTACATGTGTATTATAATTATTGCTATGTAAAATTTAAATGTAGTAGTTACTAAAGGAAATATACAAAGTAATAGTTATGTTACAATTGTATGAGTATAGGTGATGATTTCTCCTTACTCAAAATTCCCACTTATACTACACCATAATATTTAAATACATTTGTATCTTTCCATATTTTATTAGAAAGTACAAAGTTAATTATAATTATAAATACTTGAAAGGCACAATATGCATAAACTTTAACACATATGTATTAAATGCCTAATATTTGTCTGATTTTCTGTTAGGTCTGCATAAATGTATAATAATAAACATGGCTAAGCCTGGAAAGATGGCTCAGAGGTTAAAAGCACTTATTCATGTAGAGGACTCAGTTTCAGCTCCCAGCACCCACATGATGAAATATACCTATCCATAATGCCAGTTCCAATGGATCTAGCACATCTCCTGGCCTCTAAAGGTACCAGGCACACATGCAGGCAAAATACTCATAAGTAAATCTTTAAAAAATAATAAATACATCCAGTATTTGAACACTATAAAGATTAAGCTTTCTAGAAATAAAATTTAAGCTATTTCCAAAACCAAGTGAACTTTCTTAGAAAATAGAACCAGACTATTTAAATTTTTATTATATGTATATGTTTGTTTATATATTTATTTATGTATTTATAGTGGATGGGAAAGCATCTGTATGGCAATCAAAAGATAACTTGTGGGTCCCAAGGATCAAACATAGGTCATCAGACTTCATGGCTTTAACTACTGAGCCATCGTGATACCCCAAGACAAGACTCTTGATATTGAACCTTACAATAGCTTTTTACTAACAATTAAGTACAAGTAAGGGTTATAATTTTAAAAGACTTACAGACTAAGTAATCTGCTAAAAGACATTATAACTAATCAACAAGTTCAGCAAGGCTACAAGAGATCAATATATAAAATGTAATGAATGGTAGGCTGAGACTCAGCTCACTGACAGACTGCATACCTAGCATGTACGAGGCCCAGGTTCACTCCCCAGCACAAGAAAACACAAGAAAGAAAAAAAAAGTTCAACTGAATTTCTATGCAACAATTAATAGTCTGAAATTTAAATTGCTATATTTTCAAAAACACTATCAAGACTAAAGTATTCAGGAATAAAACTATCAAAATAAGTTCAAAATTAAAACTAAAGAAATGAAACTAAGAAATGAAAGATGACCTAATGAATATAAAAACATAACATTTTATAGGTCAAAAAACTTAATAACTTAATATTAAGATAAAAATATTCACTAAACTTACCTATAAATTTGTTTATGGAATATGTATATGTATATGCTTTGCCTGCATATACACCAGAAGAGGACAACAGATCACATTACGGGATAGTTATAAGCCACTGTGTGGAAATTTAACTCAGGATCTCTAGAAGAATAGAAGAGTGATCTCTCCAGACCCTGACCTACATAAATTCAACTGCAGTCTTGATCAAAGTTCTATCTGCCATCTTTGCATAAACTCATGATGTAAATCTAGAATTCATATGGAAATTCAAAATACCAGTAACATTCAAAATCAGTCTTGAAAACAAAGAATAAACTTAGGGAACTCACATTTTCTAATTTCAAAATTCCCTGCAAAGCTACACTGTAGTAATGGTATAGGGAAAGACAGTGGAAGAGAATAAAGTCCAGACATAAACCTTCACTGTATGGTTAACAGACTTTGAACAAGGGTGCTAAGACAAATCCAATGGAGAAAAAGTCTTCTGAAAATGATGCTGCAACGACTTGTTACCCCACATGCTAAAAAATAAAGTTGAACTCCTTTTTCATACCATCTACAAACAAGCTGAGGGGGCTGGAGAGATGGCTCAGTAATTAAGAGCATTTGCTGTTCTTGGAAAGGATACAGGTTCAGTTCCCAGCACTCACAAAGTGGCTTGCAACTGTTTTAACTCCAGCTCAAGAGGATATGATGCCCTCTTCTTACCTCTCCAAGCACCAGACAGACATATATGTGGCATACATACATATATGAAGGCAAACATTCATACACAAAAATCTTTTTTAAAAAACAGGCACAAAATGATCATAAACACAAATATAAGATTTTTTTTAATGTCAAGGACTAGAGCTATTGCTTAATAGTTAAGATTACTTACTGTTCTTCCAGAGATCAAAATTTAGTTCCCAGGTGGGCAGACTCACAACTACCTGTAACTCCAGCTCCTGGAACATCCAATGTCTCTGGCACATACCCAAACACATACATGAATACACATATATCTATAATGCAAAATTTAAAAAGCTAAATCCATCAAAGCCAGCCCTTTTCTGAGGAGAAACATAAGAGGAGTAGATGGGAAATGAGAGACTAGGAGGAAAGGAGGAAGGGGAAACTGCAGTTGGGACATAAAAGAAATAAAATTAAGTATATGTATGTATGTATGTGCATGTATATGTATACATAAATATATGTATACATGATGCTGCAACATCTTGTTACCCCACATGCTAAAGAATAAAGTTGAACTCCTTTTTCATACCATCTACAAACAAACCGAGGGGGTTGGAGACATATATGACATAGTGTACACATATATGAACACTAAAAAAATAAATCTTAAATTTCTATTCATTTTTATTTGTGTGGAAGGCAACACATATGCAGATTAGAGGACAATTATGAAACTTGATTTTCTCCTTCTACCATGTGTATCTTAGGAATCAAACTGAGGTTAGGCTTGGCAAGAGGTACCTTTCTTTACCTGCTGAGCCATCTCACTGGTCCTAAAACCCTTACAGGAAAATACAGCAATAGGTACTAGAAAACTGTACATCCATGAGGACCTGAGCTTGGACCCTCAAACATCCACATGTCAAGTCCAGACATGGTGATGTACACCTATAATGCTAGCACTGGGAAGGCAGAGACAGAAGGTCCAGTAGGGCTTGCAGGCCATCTAGTCTTGCCTAGTCAGTGAGTACCAGGTTCAGTGTGGGACCCTGTCTCAAAAAAAAAAAATAAGATGGGGGCAAGAGAAATGTTCAGTGGTTAAGAGCAAATCTTGCAGGGGACCTGAGTACAGCTCCAGGGGATCTGATGCCTATGGCCTCTATAGGCACCTGTATTCACATGCCAAACCCACATGCAGACACATACTTGTACATACTTAAATCTTTAAAACATCACCCAAATTATTATGAACAAAATTATATTTTTACCAACCTGAATATTCTGCATTTCAGTCAGAGACTCCCTGTTGAAATTTGATATGTTGATGAAGAATTTTTCAATCATTTCATGTAGTCTCCATGAATTACCAGTTATGATCAGGGTTTTAATAATTTCTGGAATAACAATGAATAGTCAGTGTGCAGTGAATTTATTGTAATTGGTTAAAGTTAGCAAAGCATTGTCAAATTTGTTCCTAGATCTCTGGCCAAATAAATCAGCATTAAGTAAAAACTGAAAATAAAATTTCATTTAGCTAAAGATAGGGTACAATTACCACTGGGATTAACTTGAACTTGGTGATCACTACTCATTGTCAGAAAGTAAAATGTATTGACTCCACAAAGACTAATGTTATTTTTAAATAAAGTTAAAACAACTACAAAATGGACATTAGCAATGCCTTCCAACTTAATATATATATATATATATATATATATATATATATATATATATATATATATATATATATATAATTGAAGACAAATGTTGAATAATTACATTTTGTTTAGATCTATGGCCCCCCAAAATATGAAGTATCAATATCATTTTATGTTTATAGTCCTTGATGTACTAAAATATAAACATGTAAGTTTCTGGAAAGAAGAAAACCATTAAGAAAATTTAACTTTATTACATTGTTCTTGTTCAGAACCTTGCTGAGAGTCAATAATGTACTTTCTATGATTTCTCTGGTAGAAAAAAAATAACAGAGTGATAGTGACTGTGAATGAGCACCATGTATTCATACATCTGAGCACTTTGTCCACTAATAGAAGCCTGGCGATGTTTATAAACCTATTTCTGATCAAATAATTACTTCACCTTTTTGGCATATATATTAAATGTGAAATGTATTAAAAAATTTAAACAGCAATTGAGACC